GGTTTAATGTTATTTATAGTTGTTATTATTGTTAATTAATTTTTTAAAATTTATTTGCTTAACGTTTTAATTTGTATCTTGTAATTATTTAAAACATCAAACATTGTTTTTTGTTTTTAAAGGTAACAATATAATTATTTATATAGAGTTATTTTTAATTATTGTTATTGTAAGTTATTTTAAGCTACTTATTTGAAAACTTTTAATGATTATAAAAATATTTTTAGGAAATATTTTAGCTAAATGGAGATTACATTTTAGTTTTTTGCATTTAGCACTACAATTTATCATTTTAACTATTCACAAAATATTATTTTGGTTTTTTAATTAGAATTGAAATTTATATTTAAGTTGACCGTATAATGTTATATTTTAATTAGCAATTTAATTATTTATCAAAATTGTTCAAAAGTTGTAGCTTTAAATTGATAATGGTTTATGCACAACAACTATTAAATCTAATAAATTAAGAATAAGACCATCCGTTATACTCACCACATACCACATATGTGGTGTGTGTCACATCAGCACCACATTCCCCTACCACTAATATGGGTTACCTACCACTAACACACCACCACACCTCATTTTTTTATTTAAATTTAATTCAACAATACATTAAAATCATTTTTTAATGCTAGTTTTCCATTAAATTAAAAGACCAAATTACATTAAATAAAACTACATTAATTGAAAAAATAAAAAATAAAAATAACAATAAAAATAAAAATTACATTACTTAAAATTAAAAAAAATTAAAAAAAACATTAAAAAAAACAAAAATTCCAACCATAAATAAAATAAACTACCCCATACGCCTACGTCGGGCTCGAACCGACTCTTTCATCGCGAGGAAAAGTTCCAAGTGTTTGCCCTCGAGGTCGTCCGCTTTCATTTTCAAGATTTCCATATTGGTTTTTGTTTGGATCGTCGCTTGTGCCTCTTGAAATGATGTTTGTGCTTCAATCATTTTTTGCTCCATCCGAGTCATCACCTCGGCATTCGTTTCTTGAAGTTGCACATATCGATCAAATTTATCGCCAAACATATCCATAACACTAGAGTTTGAAGATGTTGAAGCCGCTTTTTTGCTTTATTTCTTCCAACGGGCCGACGATGAGGTTGCTCGTTTTCAAGATCTAGCGGATCGTCGTTGATGTCGATGTGTGTTCGGCCGTCCGATTGTTGGGAAGTTCCATCGGGGTTTCTCGAACGCTTTGAACCGGAAGATTGCGAAGTTCCTTCCGTTTGCTCTTTCCATTTCAGAGCGTCTTTTAATTTTAGCCACGGTTTCATATACAAAAAAACTTTGCGTGTTGGAGTTTTTTTTCCAATTGCTCAATGGCCGTCTTGAAAACATCAAAATCGTTCGAGCCGCTTTTGCGTATGTTTAGGAGGTTGTTGTAGATTCCTCCAATCTCGGTGCATTTTAGTCGAATATCTTGCCATTTCGACATAATTTGATCGGCATTTGAGTTTCACTTTTCATTAACTCGTAGAAAATGGATCGGATTTTCTCCTAAAAACTTACGTAAGGTTGACTATCTCCTACAATTGGATCTTGGGAAGTCGACACCCATGCCTCCGCTAACTTTTCTTCTTCGTCTTTTGTCCATGGGACCCTTTCTTGGGTGGTAGTGGGTCGGGCAGGTTTTTTTTCCTTTTTTCTTTTTTGGTTGAGATGGTGGTGAAGGTTGCGTTTCCGCAACAAAATCCGGTGAAAGTGGTGGTTGTGAAATTGGTGGTTGTTGTTGTTGTGACGCTTGTTGTTGGAGTTGTTGTAG